CAGGTGTGAAATATGAAAATTTACAAAATATCTTGGAAAAAAATTTAGAAATGATGAATGGAAAGAGCAATGTTATTGGAAGAGGTAAACATGGATCTGAGAATAGTTTATCACAGAAATGATAAAAAGGAAAGTAAGACACTTCACACAAAGAAAAGGGAACAGATGAAGCAAAAGGTTGCTTAGTTAGAGCCCAATGAGTAGCAAACAGTAGGAAATAATAAGAGAAGATGGACAGATGAAATAAAAGAATTGCCTGGTAATATATGACATAGTTGTTCTGGAAAAGGTTTTGAAGAATCTTTGCTCTGAATTCAACTAGTAGTGGCTACTGCACATAAGGATAACTGTACTCTCTATTTGTCAATATATGAGAGCATTTAGCTGCTGACAAGATTTTTATCTATATAAAAGAGAACTTCTTTGCTGACTATATATTTGTCTATATATGAGAGCACTTCTCTGCTGATTATATATGTCCATATATGAAAGCACTTCTCTGCTGAAAATATTTTTATCTATATACGAATGCACTTCTCTGCTGAAAATATATTTCTCTCTATACGAGAGCACTTCTCTGCTGAAAATATATTTCTCTCTCTATGAGAGAGCACTTCTCTGCTGAAAATATATTTCTCTCTATACGAGAGCACTTCTCTGCTGAAAATATATTTCTCTCTATACGAGAGCACTTCTCTGCTGAAAATATATTTCTCTCTATACGAGAGCACTTCTCTGCTGAAAATATATTTCTCTCTATACGAGAGCACTTCTCTGCTGAAAATATATTTGTCTATATACGAGAGCACTTCTCTGCTGAAAATATATTTGTCTATATATGAGAGCACTTCTCTACTGACAATGTATTTGTCTATATATGAGAGCACTTCTCTACTGACAATGTATTTGTCTATATATGAGAGCACTTTTCTGACAATGTATTTGTCAATATACGAGAGCATTTCTCTAGAGAAAATCTATTTGACTATATACAAGAGCACTTCTCTTCTGATAATATATTTGTACAAGAGTACTTCTCTGCTGAAAATATATTTGTTTATATACAACATAACTTCTCTACTGACAATATATTTGTTTATATATTATCAGCACGAGAGGTAATTAGGTTTAACTCCCATGTAGTCGTGATACTTGATAGCAGTGTCTCTTTCATAACAAGAGCAAATTTCCTTAAGATTCTTATAAAGCCAAAAAGTGAAAAAAATTGATTCCATAGAAGAGCTGAATACAACAATAATTGGCAAAAATAAACTAACTGCCATTTTTTTTTTCACAGCTTTTGTAAAATAGTGTAACATAAAACTGAAAGTGAATATTACTGTTTATGGGCCTTCAAATGCTTTAAATAATATTTATATGTAGAGATGTACATTTTTGCATGTATACATGCTAACTATTTATCCTACTTTTTTTTATAGATTTTTTCCTATATATCTTTTTCTATGTGCAGTGTCTATTCAGGATGTTAGCAATCATGGCTCTCTACAACTTCGTTTTTCTAGCTCTTAGCAAAGTTTGACATTTTTCTATATCTCCTAATGTCTATTTTGCAAACCATTTTATAAAAGATCCTTAATAAGTATGAATCAACTTAGTGTGTGTGACATCGCATGTCTTAGCTGTGAAGGTCTGAATCATGGATTGATTGATTGGTTGGTTTTAACAGTATGTCATCTCATCTCAGGTTAAATTGTATGGTCAAATTTATTATTTTTTTTCAAGGATTTTTCTTAATTTTGATACTAAGTTATCTGCAGATTGTTGCTAAATTGACTGGGTATCACTTAGAGGAATAATTTTCTAGGGTAAATTTAAGTTTACTGTTATATTTTTTGTATGATTTTATTTTTTTCAGGAAGAACAAATTGTCATCTGTACTGACATTTTTTAATATATATATATATATATATCTCATGTTATTTGTGTTGTCTGATAACAGCAAAATCTGATTCATGGAGCATATGCCAGAACATGTAATATGAAAATAAACCCTTGTGTGAAACAATATACTAAGTAGATCCATATTTTGGAGGTACTCTGCTGTAAAGCAATGCTAATACTGAGATTAGCCATTTCCATACAAGGAAACATTTTGCATTCAATGATTGAACAGTGATCATGACTGCCAGTCAAATGTTCTCAACTCCATGAAATGTTATTAGTCTTACTAGCACTGATGGGAGGTTTCTTTCCTAACATTTTGTTTAAGGGAGTGTAACGAGTCAATATCATGATTAAATTCTTATCTTATATTTCCTTATTGAATGTACTATTCATTTTAGTTGCTGCTGTTGGAATTCTTCAAGGGTTGTATAATAATGAAAGTCACTTTCTTCATTGGGCAAAATGCACATGTCACTTTCATACCATTGACTATGACCATTAATACACAGTCCAGACTTATCAATGGCATATATGCAACATGTGGATATTTCATACAGTGAGGAAAGTGGCTTTCATTGCTACATGATGTGATTTTTGTTATTTGGTAAAGATCTGTTTTTCATTCTGTAGCACCAATCTGTGAGATCCAATGATGGACAGTCTTCTTCAAGAGCCACAAGCTTCATTCATTTGAATCCATTTTTAATCATTTACCTGAGAGAATGGTGCTGCTAGCTAATATTATAGCATGAATAATAAATTGCAACTATATATATGTATATATATATATATATATGTGTGTGTGTGTGTGTGTGTGTGTGTGTGTGTATATACATACATGCATATACACATACAAGATTCTCCAATCATTTTAGAGATATGATGGTACACCAAGTCAGTTCTTTGAATCAAACATCCAGACTATTTGCAGACATGATTTATAATGAACTCAACTGGAATTTGATCTTTGCTCTCCAATTCCTCAATCCAAACAGCCATCCATTACTTTACTGTGCATATATATATATATATATATCCAGTTTATTTTGGATATTAATGTTGCTATTACACATTGCTGACTTGAATGACAGTATGTTCTACTGGAGTGGATATAGCTTTGAAACAATGAATTGTTTAAAAGATATTTGATTTGATTTTTACTTACTCACATCCCTGATGATGACTTATGCGAGTTGAAAGTAGGAAACAAATGTAGCAGCTTTCAAAAGAACTCAGAGAAATAAGCAAATAATAAAAATCAACTTTCGTAAATTTACTGATTATATAAAACAAATAATTCCGGATTTTGAAAAAATTCATAAAATAATTGGATAGATACAACATGCCCACATTATTCAACAAAACAGTCTTCAATAAAAAAAAAAAAAAAAAAAAGAAGATATATACATATATGTTGATCTGATAGTTCCAAGTATTTGGGTTATAAATTTTTCAATAGTTCTAGCAATTTTCTGATACATAGCCAGAATGCAGACATGAATGGTCAAAAGGTAAATATTTTAAATGTTGAAATAAAGTGTTCGGCTCAAAATTCCAATCACCTGAAGAAGGCTGAATCATACAACAACCAAACCTCATGAATAAGGCAACAAAGATGAGGACAACAGTCTGAATAGTGTAAATAATCTTTGAAAAACCAAAACATTTTCTAGAAAGAATTAATCTTGAAATTAAACCTAAACGAACATAGAAGTTGAAAATCTGTTGATTCCCTCTGAATCTGTCAGTGTATCCTTTTATTTATAGAATCTTGTTACAATAAACTGTGTGCAACAGTTGATATAATAGAAGTCATTTATTTTTTGAAAGAAGAAAATTAAAAGGAAAAAAAAGCAAAAGATAAAATAGAACCTCCTTTCGAAAGCTTCAACAAAAAGTAATTTGGACACATTTTGTATTTATAGTCAAAGGAAATGAAAATTCTAAATATACAAAGTCAAGATTTCTTGTCTCAACAGTGTAAGATTTGATTCCATGAGAAAATATTTAAAAATAAAAAAAAATCTTTTTTCCCAATTTTCACATTAGGTAAAAATCAGAATTCTTTCTACAAAATTATCTAAAAATGTCAACAAAATCATCCTATTTAATTTCAATTTTAATTTTATTACTAAACTGTATAAATTTGCACAGATATAATTATAAATATCTGGGGTATATAGTATAAAGAAGTATGAAAATTATATAAAGGAGTAGTTATCCTGTAGACCAATTTGCTAGTGTGATGAGGTCAGTTCTTACTGAGAACCTCACTGCCATAACGTTGCACCAAACTAAACTATCATTATTTTTTGTTTTTAATCATTTTGTCTCACATCAATGCAATAAAAGTCATGAGGAAGCAAAGAGCTTAGTGAAAGTGAAATAAACAGAAAGGACAATAAAAGAACAGAATTCAAGAAGACAGAAGATGATAATTGACATTGCATTTAAACTTTTGAAGATCATTGTTAACAGGAAAGCAAGAGTAGTGCAGGAGGAGAAAGGAACATTATTTCTGAGATGTATTACAAGGACACATGGCACAGTGGATAAAGGCGTTGGTTACATCCAATGACAAGACCCAAAGAGTGTGAGTTAAATATCTGATTAAGGAGAGGGGAATTAACAGGAGATAACTGACATCCATTAAACATGGTACGTGGAACTAGAACAGTCTACCCCAGTGAGCGAAATAAAGGGTTCAGTTCAACATTCCAACTACCTGAAGAAGGCAGGAATGTACAACGTCCAAAACGTTGTAATAAATATGGCAACAAAGATGAGGACAATAGTCCAAATAATGTAAATAGTGTACATAATACCTCATATCAGAAATATAGACAGATACTTTTGCAGTTTATTCAAATCAAGAAAATATTTTTAGATTCTAAGAATTTTTTTGGTGATAAGTGATTTTATTGATACAAATCTTACTAATTAACCCATAGCTTGGGGAAAATGTGGTGCATTCATACCTTTCCAAATGATATTTGTGTTTAAGTGAATATAATGAATTCAACTGAAACTGGAACACAGCTCTCTCTGATTAGCAATTCTGAGCCATTATCCATTACACTACCTGCATATCCAAGGCTTACAGCTGCTGGTATTCCCAGGCAGTCACTCATCTAGGTACTGACCAAGCACAGTGTTGCTTAACTTCATTGATCATATGGGAGCTGCTGTTTGAAACCGATATGACCATAAGCCAGAATAAGAAGAGACTTTAAGTAAAAGAGATGTGGTTCTACAGACAGATGCTGAGAATACAAATGACTGAACATGTTAGTAATGAAGATGTTTTAACAAAAATAAGAGCAAAAGGAACCATAAATGATGTTAGAATAAGAAGGCTACAGCTGAAATTTCTGGGATGCATAATGAAGAAAGATGTCTTGAAAAATTTAACATTTACAGGATAAACTGATGGCAAGAGACATGAGGGGAAACAGCAATTTAAAGAGTTTGTGTGAAAAGATGCCAGCTATTAAAATCAGTAGAAAGGACCATTAGTGACTCATCTAAGTACTGACCAACTTTAAATTCAAGAGTAGAATCCAGAAGAGAATAATTCCACAAGAGTATACAGTTTGTTATGAAGAATAATGTGTAAAACCATTGCTAATATCCAAGAGAAATGGCTAAAAGAATTTTTTTGTCATAATTAAAAACTCAGCAATCAACTTTCCAAAAGATATTGGTAATATTTCAAGAGAAATAAGAGATGTCGGTAGATGCAAAACTAATCAATATGAACCATAAAATAAGACAAAATCTATTCTTGTATATGGTTGACTGAGAGCTTGGAAACCTTTCACCTCTTTTATACCAACATTCGGACTGGCGTGGTCTTTCATTGTTTCTGGGTGCCATGCTTGACAATACATCCAACTCAGATGAAACAAGAAAGTTACAGATAACAGTCTGAAAATAACATGTGACTAATAACAGCAATGCATCATTCCATCAAGTAGTGATATCCAACTGATATGGGCCTGATACAATTAATGGTTTCTGGAATCTTGCCACCTGAACAATGTTATGACATACTATGAAACCTGGAGATGATTGAAGATCATGCCAGTTGAAGAACTGAGAGGAAGACAAGGGAAAAATCAGTAATAAAAATGTTTAAAACCTCTCTCTCTCATTATATATATATATATATATATATAAATTAATAATAAATATACATTTTTCCCTCAGCATTAGTACAACTCTAAGTTTATTTCATGCACAATACAATTGCCAGGTGCTGAATGAAAACTGACCATTGCATTATATATGATAACATAAAGAACAAATAGTTAACATGTAAATATTCCTCAATTTGATATGTTTCCTTTTTATTAAAGTTTCATCAGATATGGAGAAAAAGAAGAGAGAAATTCTGGTATTTTCACTTTTGCAATTCTGGTATTTTTACTTTTCTACCAGAATTCATAGTATTTTTACTTTTGTAAAGTAAAAATACCAGAATGTCTTTCTTCTTTTTCTCCATATCTCATTCTCTGATAAAGCTTCAATAAAAAGGAAACAGATTGATAAATGTTTTATATTTTATTTTTTCTGTTTGAATTTCTGTGATGAAGTGTTATTATTTACATCATTTAAATTTGGACTACTATTCTCATCTTTGTTGTTGTTATCCAATTTTATACTCTATTCCATCACATGATATACTTATAAACCAGTTACTAACTCTCTCGTAAAATATATTGCTATCTCAATATTTCATAAAAGAACTTCACAAGTTATGAGATAAGAGAATATCTTTAGAAACATTTCATGATGAACAAGACATTACAACTGCTAAACTCTCAAAACTTTTTAAAATACCTGCTCACATTGTGTGAAGAGGAAAGTAGTAAAAGCTTGTACAAGTAGAAAGGACAAGAAAATTTGAAATCAAGGAGATTTGAAATCCTAATAGATAATTCTTAGAATCATTGATCTATGAAAAAGATGGAATATTCTCTCTAATATAGCACTGGACATAAACAGGTGGTCTTCAGAGTGTCCTTATCATAAGATTTGGAGAAGAGAATCTCTGAATATTGGCAATGAAGCATTCAGCCCTAATGTTTAGAATCAGTGCACTTGAGAGCAAGGCTTTTCTCCTAAGGGACATCAGTTTGAAGGGCATCACAAAGAGAGGCACATGAAAACAAATCATCCATGAAAGATAACCGATTGCATTCTCCAACGGAGAGCTGTCCTCAGAAGATGGCAGACAATGCATCAAATAGATTTTGTTTCCACTGATTGGAATGAAAGGTGATTCATCTTACCCAACCTTAAAATTGCATGCACTAAGCATTAATTTAGGAAGATGAGAGAGAGAGAGAGAGAAAGAGTCCAAGTCAGAATGAGGAGTGTTAGTACAATAGACAGTGGGATTTTCTTTTCTTCTGAGAATGAGTGACATGCAAAAGACAGTATATACCATGAGACACTTGAATAAATTGTTTACCATTGTTTCTTTTTCAGTCTTTGGGAAACATCTCCTCCCTCTCAAGAACCTCTTCATTGGCAGAGTGCCATCAGCTTTTTAAGATATCAAAATTTCTTCACTGATCTGGCATTTACTTCAAGAATGACACCACTCAAAATCTAAGAGGTGAGCGACTAACATTCTTGCATAATGAGATAGATTTTTATGACTCAGGTGAGATGGAATTTTTGTTGAATGTGACTGTTCTCTTACTATTTGTTACTCATGTCAAGTTTAAGTTTTTACTTGTGCTACTTTTTACCAAGAGAGCTGTACATTGGTGTAAAAAGTAGCATAATGGTTAGCAGGTCAGAGTAAGAAACTGGTAGTTCAAATAACTTTCAATTTTGTTGCATTCACTTTCACAAAAATACCTGTGAGAAAGATGTGAATCCATTTCTTCTTCTGAGCTAAATATCAGAGAGACTTAGCTCTCTAGTCATGTTTGGCAGTCAGTCTAGGAGAAGGAATAACTCTGACTACAAAATTCAGTCACCTGAAGCTGTACAAAGGAGGTTAGGGTGCACAGATACTATGTATGTAAAAAAAATAACATATTTCAAAAACTATGGATGAAGCCATTGGAGAGCAACTAATATGATTCTGTTGACAAAAACTGGCATTAAGCCTAAGAGAAGTGTCAGGTACACTCATTAAAAAGAAGCTTGTGTAAGGAGAAAATATCATATAATTAAAAGTCTTCTGCATTAACAACAATGGCAGAATTAGAGATACACAAAATAAAACACAATTTAAAGCCAAGGATTACAAAGCAGCTTGACACATTTTGTTTGGATTTACGGGCTCATTCTTTTCTTTGTTCTAACTGATCCATCCTATGACCCACTTCAAATGACTGATCCATTCTTTAACCCTCTTCAAATGATTGATCTATCCTATAACCCTCTTTAAATGACTGGCTGATCCATCCTATAACCCTTTTCAAATGACTGATCCATCCTATAACCCTTTTCAAATGACTGATCCATTCTACAATCCTCTTTAAATATCCATTCTACAACCCTCTTTAAATGAATGACTGATCCATTCTATGTCCCACCTCAAATGACTGATCCATCCTATAACCCTTTTCAAATGACTGACTGATCCCTTCTACAACCCTCTTCAACTAACTGATCCATTCTACAATTCTCTTAAAATATCCATTCTACAACACTTTAAATGACTGACTGATCTGTACTATAACCCTTTTCAAATGACTGATCCATTCTACAATGCTCCTCAAATAACTGATCCATTCTACAATCCTCTTTAAATATCCATTCTACAACACTCTTTAAATGACTGACTGATCCATTTTATGACCCACAGCAAATGACTGATCCATCCTATAACCCTTTTCAAATGACTGACTGATCCATTCTACAATTATCTTTAAATGACTAACATTCATTCTACAATCCTCTTCAAATGACCATGCTATAAATTCCTTCAAATATGCAATCAATATGGTAAACATAAATGGATGACACCAAATATACTAACAAGCCATAATTTTCTTTATTCAACCAGAGGGAAAGCAAAGTACATTCTCATGCATTATATGAAATCATCAGTGCTAGATGATGTAATAAATGGTTAGCATTTGTCTAGTTTGTAATATCCACTTTCCTTCAATTTCAATAGAAAAGAGTCCCTCTCATTCCTTATTAACTATACACCCAAAGAAGGCTGCAGAATGGATTGGCCGGAATGCTGAATAATTTATAAAAATAAAAAATTACTGAATAATAATGGCACTTCTCCATTTCTTAATTTACCTTTTTAAACATTTTCTTAGATTTAAACTGCATTCTATTTTTCATAACTTCTAATATTTTATTTAATTGCATCTTTAATTATCTAAGAATTATGGAATATTTCTTAAGTTATAAAATACTCATTTCACTCATTTCATTCATTTTTTTAAATTACAGGAGCTGCTCAGAAAATGTATCAAAACGTGAATGTACTTGGGATTTTATTTATTTTAAAAGGTTGAAATACTGATGAAAATTATTGATTATCAAGGAGTCTATACTAACATAATAAAATGATTTATTTTGGTATATAATATATATTAGAAACAGATTTTATGGAATAACCTGTCACCTCCATGAATGACAACACTATAGGTAGTAACTACCTATAAGTATCTGTAAGTCAACTGACTACAGACTTACATGAGAACTACTGACTTTTCAGTAGTAGCACTCACTACTGTATTGACTTGCAACAACCTTGTGCATAACTTTTACCTTTATTCTTATTGTATTTGTTTTACAATAAACCTTTACTTATTTTATCCACCGTGTTTTTCAAGTATATATTCCTATTAGCATGGAATTTTACACTAACCAAACTAACTTCTCAGTTTCATCCCCTATATTTTTGTTCCTTCTCGTCTTGAAATCAGAACACTGCAATCACTTGACTGTATCCCTTTTGAATGTGAATACAATTCTTACTTTGTGAACTTTTTATCTTATTACTATTGCTTTGCCTGCTTTTGACTTGCATATATATTGCTTGCTTAGTATTATTTTGCCCTGTCTTTCTTCTCTTATTGTTTATTGGAAACTTTATCAATTCTGTTTGTTGGGCATTTTTTGACAATTACACTTAATCATGGCCAATTACTCTACATATATCAAGATCACAGTATTCTCATGTAAGTCTTTCTACCAGCCATATGGACAGCTCTATTTTACTT